TGAAACGTTTTAGCTCTATGAAACCTGATGTACTTATATGATTCTGTATTCTTCAAGTTTGTATCTTCCTGGTCGAATGTACTTATTGTAAGTCTATTTGGATAAAAGCCTCAGCTAAATGCAATGTAATGTACAATGACGTGCATCGCTAAAATCTAAAGAGAGTAAGAGTACTTAACCTGCATAAAAACACAAACACAAATTCCCATAACCCAACTGGTTGGATCCTCTTCTCTAACCAACAACTCTTTCAAACTCCACACCTCTAATTTGCAACGCAGGATTTCTTAAACTGATAACTCTGACGATATGATCAGGATTCAAGAAAGCAGCACAAAAGACAATGTATAACTTCAACCTGAATACCACTCAACGTGATTTTGATGATAACATTGGTTGTTTTCAAGTGTACCAAAAGATACCAAAAATAAAACTTCTTTAGTTATTGACTGTCTATCAGACTGTCTATCAGACTGTCTATCAGTTAACTATAAAGGTCATCCTGTGGAAAACTACATCCAGCCCACACGGTGACAAAATGTCTGGACTTTTTGCAATGTCACGTCTTCAATACACCTCCATCACCTTATCAGGGAATCAACCTAGATTTCAAATGAACCCTCTACGAAAGCTTTTTAAAAAGATTGCTGCTACTAAAAGCTGCATTTATTCTGATTCTGTTAGTGTCATGCCTGCTTCTGAATATGTGTGGCTTTTGCCCACACACACACACACACACACACACACACACACACACACACACACACACACACACACACACACACACACACACACACACACACACACACACACACACACACACACACCATGTATACATCACTTCAGGGGACATTACATTGACTTACATGCATTTCCTGGAGACTTATCCTAACCTTAACCATAACCAAGTCTTCACCCTACAATTAATGATTCCCCTCATGGGAACCTCCATTTTGTCCCCATAAGGGAGGCGAGTCCCCACACGTGACTGTGTAAACAGATTTAGGTCCCCACAAGTATAGTAATGCTAGGTCACACACACACACACACACACACACACACACACACACACACACACACACACACACACACACACACACACACACACACACCATTAACAGGGGAACACTGTCAACAGAAGCTCTTTGACTCTAGACTCTGGTCTCAGTACTGTATGTCAATATGACATACTGCTCTGAAAAGAAAACGGATATAGAGTTATTCCCTTAGAACACACACATCATCATCATCATCATCCAGTGGTGTCATATTAATGCATAATTAAGACAGCAAGGTGTTTGAATCAAACATTAGTCTTAGCAACTTAGCAAACATATTCACTGTGTCACTCACACACACATATGCATGCTATTATCGACCTGTGTGTGTAGAGAGGTTAAGTCCTCGAGTGGAGGGTTAGGGATCTAATTATTGGAGGAAGATGATATCTATCATAGTTTCTTCATCTGGACATGACCAGTGATTACAAGTCCAGATTAAATGGACGGTCATTAGGGAGGCTTTTAATGCTGTTTAATGCATTTCAGGCAGAGAGTTTGGGATTTTAGCCTTTGCAGACCATTTACATGCACACACACATCTATAGAACGAAGTACAGGAAAGGGGGAAACCCAAAAAGCACAATAGGGCTCCAGGGTCTACACTTCTTCAGTCACAAACTGAAGACCCACCTGTTTTGCGTGTACCTTGAGCAACAAAAAACATAACAAAAATAAGCAACACTTGAGAGTTTAACTTACGAAACAGTACAATGGTCTTGCTTGTTTGAAGTTAATGTGTCAGCACATGTTGTTGTCCTTAGTTTGAATCTCTCACTTATTGCATGTAATATAAAAGACATTAACACAGGAGGACTGAATATACATAGATGGCTGTGCAAGTATTGATCTCCCCCTCCTTCTCTCTGCAGCTCCAGCAGCACTGCGCGGTCGCTCTGAGCCCCCAGGTGAGGAGCGCCAGGTGGGTCTGGGGGTGGCCCGGTCGGGGCAGCACCGCTGGAGCACCATCAGCAGCCTGAGCGTGGACAGCGGGGTGGTCGGCCTCAGCGACGAGCGCGAGGAGGAGATGGACAGCGAGCCGCGAAGGTACCGCCGGACCCGCGGGGCCGAGGTGGAGCGGGTCGACAGCGGCATCGGGCCGGGGCTGTCCCGCACCTGGAAGAGACCCTCGGCCTCCCTCAGAGCCTGGGAGGCGCAGAGACCCTGCCCCGACTGTGGGCTGCGGGACGGGGCCTCCAAAGAGCGGGGGGAGCGCATGTGTGACCGCTGCTCCAAGCTGCGCACCGAGAGGAAGGAAGCCATCCTGGAGTTCCTGAACACGGAGCAGAGCTACGGAGAGGACCTGCGCATCATCAAGGAGGAGTTCTACGGGCCGATGCAGAGCGCGGCGCTGCTGACCCCAGAGCAGCTGAGCGTGGTGTTCAGCAACGTGCAGGAGCTCATCGACGTCAACGACCGCTTCACAGAACACCTGCAGGACAGCATCGACCAGGCCTTCGACCAGGTGAGCCCCCCTCCGTGTCTTTGTGACACACACGATGTCATGACCTGGATCCGGCAGTCATAACAAGTTGGGAGACTACACCATGTTCTACAGAATAGACAAACACGGGTATAATAGCTTAATATTTGTGTATAAAGATTGTCAGGATCCTTACATCCCAAAACTCTGCAGCACAGCTTCATTTATTTATGTGTGTGTGTGTGTGTGTGTGTGTGTGTGTGTGTGTGTGTGTGTGTGTGTGTGTGTGTGTGTGTGTGTGTGTGTGTGTGTGTGTGTGTGTGTGTGTGTGTGTGTTCCTCCAATTATTGACCTGCAGCTGAGAGGCAGAGGTTAGAGACACAATAGCAGAGAGACTCAATCATGTCACACACACACAGATACAGCCAACAGGGGTTACACAAGGTAGTTTGATTTGTAATGCTCTTAAGCTTTGAGCTCCTACTAGTCTGATATTACATAAGTCACCTTCAGGGTCATATGTATAAAGGCATTACAGTGTGTGATTCTAATCCAATAAACTTTTTGATTTGGATTCGAATCATTGTGACTTGGACTCCTGTCGATTCCAGTCTTTTATGACTTGTGGTTCAGGGGGTAGTTTGGGTGTTTACTGATCAGAGGGTCAGGGGATCGACCTCCAGCCCATGCAGTCAACATGTCGAAGATCTTAACCCCAAGTTGCTCTTGTAGCTAGTCCATTTTGGATAAAGCATCAGCTAAATTACATTTAATGTAATAAAAAACAAATGACTTGGTCTTGGAAGTTAAAGACTTTACTCTAAACTTGACTTTAAATATTAGATGTATTTAAAGTGTTGACATGTGTTTATGTAACGTTACCTGGTGTTATACACTGCTTCTGTGAACTGCAAACCTACAAACTGGATTATCAAATTGCTTTTCCTTATGTCAAGTATATCTTTGTATGAGAATAAGAGTAAAAGCTTGACCTTTGAAACAAAAACAGATCCAGAACTGATACATAATGGACCTCGGGGGGGAGATTGTTTTGTCAAATGCTGTTCCCAACTTGCAGATTCAATTTAAAATCTCTTTAAAGTTCTCCAAAAACATTTCTATTATTGAAATTGAATTTGATAAAGATTATCTAACACTGTAAAAGCTCCATAACAGCTAATGAATGGATCTTGTGGTGAGATTGTTTAATCTACCAGTCATTTGTCTTTCTTATAGTACCATCATTTTTACGTTTTTATCGAAATATGGACAATAATTTCTAGTAAAAGCTGTGCAACACACAGTTTGCCACTTCTTCCTTTGCACTCGCGTTAGAGTATCCTTTTGGGGAAATATATCTTAAACACTATAATAGAAAACAACTCTTTTGTTGTAAATGAGTTGCACATTAACCATATTCTCTCCTGTGGTTTCCCTCAGGGAGATGAAGACCTGCTCACGGTGAACATAGGAGAGATCTTTCTGGAGTTCGTCAACATGCTGCCGGCCTTCCAGACGTACTGCCTGCAGCAGCCCACCTCCGTCAACCTGCTGAACGCCCTGGAGAAGGAGAAGGAGCTGCTCAGGTACTGATTCTACTTCCTGTTAGTGTGTGCAGAGAAGTACACACATCCTTTACTCAAGTAGAAGTACAGATGCTCGTGTTTAAAAATACTCTGGTGAAAGTAGAAGTACTGACTAAACTTCTTTACTCAAGTCAAAGTAAAGAGGCTTTGAAATGTACTTCAGTAAAAGGTACCCATAAAC